ATTCTCCTGTTTTATTTTTGTGGTGTTGTTTTCTAATAGTAGTCATGATGATGAGAAATTTTTTAATGTGCCCAGAACACGAGATGGTACACTCCATACAAGTTGTGAGAATCTTGTGTTAAAAAATTAATAACATAAAAAATAAAATTTTCCACCACACTTATATAATAACATGTGGTATTTGTGTTACGGGCACAAGGAAAAATTTCTCGAAGATGACACCCAAGCTCAAGAAATTGGATGGAGAGCTACATTTATTATTGTAGGTATATGAAAAAAGTGAAGAAATTTTAATTTGCTAATTTTTTTTTCCTCGAAAAATAAATAATATTAAAGTTGAATTGTAATGTTTACATCAGACGCTAGAGTGTTAAACAGCCACTCCGGTTCAAACCCAACCTACATATGTGAACCCTCCACACGCATGACATAAGAAGCCACTTGATGCGCGACCCTATTACAGGCACGAGGAGTAAATAGAAACTCTACTACCCGCATTTGTTGGCGTAAAGCTTTAACATCCCAAAGAATACCTTCCAAAGCCACGTCCGTAAGTAAATCCACCTTAATCATATCCACCAAAACCTTCGAGTCCGTCTCTACCTGAACGATCTCAACACCCAACTCCACACAAGCCAACATAGCCATTCTCACTTCTTCCGCTTCCGCCATCAAACTAGATCCACATAATAAATTTCCTATACCACCACCAGCTTGGAATATCCCCACGAAGTCCCTAACAACCCACCCACAACCTCCCACACTTGTTTGGTTACACCAAGCCCCATCACAATTTACCTTCATAGTACGAAAAGGTGGTTTCAACCAAAAACCTTGAATCTCCCTGGTAGGTCGCTGCTTAGCCCTAGGCTGCTGTACCGTCTTCCCACCACTATCAACAACCTTCCGCACCTGTTGACTAAGAAGCTCCAAAGCAGCACACGGGGGTATTAAGATCCCCTTAAACACATCACTATTTCTACACTTCCAGATCTTCCACAAACCACAACTAACCCACCTAATAAAATGTCCTACGTCTTGGAGGTCTCAAATTTGTTACACAAGCTTTTCCAACACTCCAAAAAATCTCCACCCTCCACTGTCACAACATCTAACTGAAGCGGGGAACTAAACCAAAATACCCTCGCAAACGGACATCGAAAAAATAAATGTCCCTGTGTTTCCACCTCTTCATTACATAATGGACATCCGATGTCTATCTGAATACCCCGTCTTCTCAAATTATTACGTACGGCAAGGATATTTCTACATCCCCTCCAAATAAAATGACAAAGCTTGGGGGGAACCCCTAACCGCCATAAATCCGCCGATGTTGAATCCTTTTCGTCTTCCGTACTAGACTGCCCTCCACTCTTGCGCCTAAGTTCTCCATTTGTCTCCATTTGTTGAGCAACTAAATACCCAGATTTAACTGAGTATAGCCCATTACGAGTATAATGCCATATAAGGCGATCTGGACACCCATGTTGACTAAGAGGCATACAAAGAATAACACTAGCTTCTTCCGGACGAAAGCATCATTCAACAAGAGGCCTATCCCATCTCACATCAATAGTTGTAAGATCAGACACCCTGTTAGGCTTGTCAATATACCTGGATAACGGCTTGAAAGTTCGTGGTGTAGGCAACCAAGGATCGGCTAGAATACGAACATGTGTACCATCCCCCACCCTCCATCGACTACCCACGTTCAATACTTTCCTTCCCTGTAATAATCCCTTCCATCCCCACAATGTTCCTCGACCCACCGGAGCTTCAAGAAATGATGAAGATGGAAAATATTTTGCTTGCAAGACCTTGTTCAACATAGACTCCGGATTACATATCACTCGCCACCCAATTTTAGCGAGCATGGCTAAATTAAAAGCAATTATTTCTTTAAAACCGAGACCTCCATCTGACTTTTTCTTCGCAACCTTTCTCCAGGCCATCCAATGAACCCCCTTTTTGTTCTTCTGATCTCGCCACAAAAACCTAGCAATAACCTACTCAACTTCCTTTGCCAACTGTATCGAGAGTTGAAAGCATGACATTGTATAAATAGGTAAAGTATAAATAGGTAAAGCAGAAGCTACACTTTTAATTAATATATCCATCCCAGCTACCGACAGAAACTGCTTCGCCCACCCATTAATCCTCTCATCCAATCTATTCCGCACCTCTTCGAACACTTTCTTTTTTGAAGCCCCAAAGTCCGCTTGGATACCTAAATAACTCCCAAATCCGTCTTGTTGTCGAATACCCAACTCCAATGATATTCGATCCTTCAAGGTTTGAGAGCAACCCGCACTGAAGTACACGAAGCTCTTCTCCAGGTTAACAAACTGACCTGAACCTTCAGCATAAATGTGCAATAACCCCCTAACATTTTGAGCCTCAGTCTCTGTAGCCCGACAACATAACACCGAATCATCCGTAAAAAATACATGGGAGATAGGCTTAGCAAGGTGATTGATAGTGATACCCCTTATACGATCAACCCGTTCCTCTTTATGAATTAAAGACGAAAAGCCCTCAGCACAAATAAGGAACAAAAAAATGAGACAAAGGGTCACATTGTCGCAATCCTCTAGTCGGTGTAACATAACCCGTAGCTTCCCCATTAAGTACATACTATAGGACACTGTTTGCACACACTCCATCACCCACTTACAAAAAACATCCTCAAAGCCCAACTTATACAACATTGCGTTCAGAAACGGCCATTTGACTCTATCATAGGCCTTAGCCATATCCAATTTAAGGGCCATAAAATTCATACCCTCGTCGTTGCCTTGTTGCATGGAGTGTAAAAGCTCATAAACCACCAAAATATTATCAGAAATTTGCCTTCCCGCCATAAATGCCGATTGATTTGGGCTAATCAACTTGGGAAGAATCTGCTTTAGCCGATTTGTTAGCACCTACAAGATAATCTTATACACCACGTTACAGAGAGAAATCGATCTAAATTGGGACATTTTTCTAGGATTATCCACCTTCGGAATCAGCACAATATTAGTATGATTCACCTCTTTCAACATCCGTCCCGATTGAAAGAATGATTTAACCATACCCATGACCACTCCTCCCACCGTTTCCCAATGATGATGAAAGAACCTAGCATTAAATCCATCAGGCCCCGGTGACTTCGTTGGATGCATTTGGTAAATAGCTTGTTCAATTTCCATATCCATAACTCGCTCTGTCAAACCCCTATTTTCCACAGAACCAATCTTACAAGGCACACAAGACATTATCTCAAGTACATTTGCAGGTTGATCCGTAGTAAATAAGACTTGAAAATACCCCACGGCAATCTCCCTTAGCTGCTGCACATCAGTACACCACGTGCCATCTTCCCCCTCCAGCCTACGAATAACATTCCTCCGTCTCCGCTTTAATGTTTGTGCATGGAAAAATTTTGTATTTTTATCACCCTTCTGTAACCATTGCATTCTTGATTTTGTCCTCCAATAGAGCTCTTCCATTCTCACCGCCCATGTAAGCTCAACCTCTAACTGTCGAATTCGTTGTTCATTAAACACTGTCTTCTGATACTCCTCCCGAATGATCTTCTTCAATCGACAAATTTCTTTTTGCTCATTACGACCTGTTTTCTTCCACCACCCTACTAAACCATGTCGCACTTGGTGTAATTTTGCCAACAAATTATGGCTCGATACATCCCCTTGCCCATTGCCCCAACATGTTCCGACCACCTTAGCACATTGATCCTCCTAATTCCATCGAGGGCCATACATAAATCTCTTTTTCCTCTTGGGTTGGTCCACCTCCGTGAACAACACAAGCATTGCATGATCCGATCCTTCAAGTACCACATGCTTTACAATCGCCTGCTAATAACTTTGCACCCATTCACTTGTAGCAAGAGCACGATCAATCCGTTCTTGAATGAACCCCTCAGTACGCCTATTCCTCTAGGTATACAGGTACCCTTCGAAGCCCAAGTCTAACAACCGTGTTTGTGTAACAAAATTCCTGAAGTTTCTCATACTAGCAACTGTTCAAATATTGCCTCCCTCTTTCTCCAACTCACACAATAAATCATTAAAGTCTCCCATCATGAGACATGGTTTCGAATACCCATTGATTTAGTTCATTAACACATCAAATTGGTGCGCTCTTTTACGGTCATCAGTGCTTGCATACACAACAACAAGCCTCCATCGACATTGCCTCATCCTATCCTCAACTAACACTTCTACAAAGAAGTCACCATACTTAACCAATACCACATCCTTGGCATCCTTCCAAAATACACACATTCCTCCTGCAATTCCCCTAGGCTCGATTGCATGCATACATGCCATTCCAAGCCTTCGCTTTAAATAACGGTACCTTCAACTATGATTTTTTGTCTCTAATAACACTACCACCTCAGGGGAGTGGAGCCCATTCTGCTCCAACAGATCGTCAACTGCCATGTCCCCCTAATACCCTGACAGTTCCAGCATATAATTTTCATTGTGATCGCGGAGACTCTTCGCAGGTAGTCTCCGCTTGGTCCAACTTAGACCTATGATGTTTTGTCACACGGTAGGACATGTCAAATGGTTCCAGCCCTTCACTATCACCTTCATGGCCTCGTTTAACCCCACCACGGGACACAACTTCAATTATTGGAAGAAGGTTGAAAGGGTCTGAATCTTGAGACAATAAATCACATACCATCTCGCCATCCATCACAACCCTTACAGGACCCTCGTCCTGATTACCTCATTGGCTAACCGCAATAGGAATATTAAGATCAAAATCATGCCCTGGTTGCACCACCTCACTACTTGCCCGACATCCTAATCTGGCGGATTATTTAACACTACCATCCCAGCACCCTCAGCAATGACACCTCCCGGACCAATAAGACCTATATCGAAAGCTTGCTCTCTTGTCCTCCGCTGCCTCTCTTGTTCCATACCTTCTGTAGAGCCCCCTTGTCTCCGCCAGTTTGACGAAGAAGACGCACTCGTTGTCCCCCTCTATCCTCTTTGCAGATCACCACGCTTCACAAAAGGATTCCCCCTCAAGTCAAACTCCGCATCTAATCTTTTAAATGCACATAAAGTTTCCAAAGCGTCATCTAAAACCCCTTCACCACCAATATTGCCATCCCCACACCGTCGCGTAACATACCCCATCTTGCCACAGATAAGGCAATAGCTAAGCAAACCCTCATAGCGGAAGTCCACCCACATACTCCCATCATCAGGGAATTCTACATTAGCACCCCTTATGAGTGGTTCACAGACATCAAAGGAAATCTTCACCTGCAAAAATCGTCCAATACAATCTCTTCCATCATCCTTATCCACCCTTAGCACCTTACCAACCAATCCTCCAATAGTCAAAGCAACCGCCTCTGTCATATTGAAAGGAGGAACGTTATGCAGTTGCACCCATATAGATACCAAGTGTAAGGGTTCTGCCCTCTGATTATGACGAGCCCCATCGACAACTAGCACCAGATCCTCCCGAAACAGCCACGGCTTCTCTGCCTCCAATACACGGCACATGTCCCACCGACTAACAAATCTAGCCATGAACTGCGCCCCACCCAAAGCCCTAATTGACACCCCCTCCCGTCCTCTCTATAGATTAGTAAACTGGTCAATGAAACCATTGTCATTAACCTCATTCCTTGTAAACACTTGTGCAACCACACTGTATTGGAAACCCAGCAAAACACCCTTAACTTCCTTCTTGCCAATCTTAACCCCACCTTTTCCTTCTCAGATAAGGATAAACCCATACCAAACTTCAATGTAAGGCCTTCCATGGTCTGCATGCTTGACCGCTCCATTACTAACTCAAAATCCCAAAGTATCGCCCACAAATCATAAGCAATCCACAAACAGCTTTTTAAATATAATTATTGAGAATTAAACACTATTTATAAAACTTCACCAATAAGGGTCTAAGTTTCAAACCTTATGAAACTGAACTAAGAATTAAACACTTATTTATGAAACTGGAGTAAGAATTAGACAATATTTATGAATTATTTATGAAACCGGACCAAGAAAGAGACACTATTAATGAAATTGTACCAATTACTCTACATTATTTATGAAACTGGACCCAATAACTAGACATTATTTATGAAACATGATCAAGAACTAGACATCATTTTATGAAAGTGGACACAAAACTAGACACTATTTATGAAATTGAACTAATAAATAGTATAGTACCGTTCAGTTTCATAAATAGTGCAGTTTCATAAATAGTGTTCAGTTTTATAAACAGTGTTTAGTTTCATAAACAGTGTACATGTACTATGCGCGCGTCAAGTTTTTTGTTTTTTTTTTTTAAATTGTGTCATTTTCATTAAAAATTAAGTTTTTTTTGTCCTTTTTTTATTAAAATTTAAGTGTTTTTCATTAAAATTTAATTCTTTTTCATTAAATAAAGTTTATAGCATGGTTTTTTGTTAAAATAAACTTTGTCCAAACCCTTTTCATTAAAGTTCCCTTTATTTAATTGTATTTCCAGATTTTGGGAATCCTATTTTAGGTAGGATTTTAATGCTTAACTTAGCATATTTTAGTTGAGCTTTGTAACCCTAGGAGTTGGAAGTTTTGAATTGGAAAATTCGGCTAGAGAGTTTTGGCAATCACTACTTTGTATTGCAAGGGTGTTTTTCCTTTTTTTTTTTTTAATTTTTTTTGTTTTGAAAACTTGAGAATTTTATTGATATGAAAAAAGTGTTAAACCTAGTCAGGGGGGACATAAATCTTGCCTCTCATAGAGCAAGAAAAACAAAATACAAGAAAAGAGCGAAGGAGATACACCTTACTCTTTTTGAAAAAGAAAATACAAGAAAAAGAGGGGGGCATAGACCTTACCTCTCTTGAAAAAGATTGGGTGGACATAGGCTCAGACCCCTTTATAAACCTGAAAGGTAAGAACCTGCAAGACAAGTTGCAAAACGAAAAGGAAAATCCAAAAAGATTAGGTAAAAAAAATCACACGTTAAGAAGGGGAGGCAAACCTGTAGGCTGGCAGGTCAAGAAATCTGAGTGCAAAAAAGGAAAAATCTCTATAGGAGGAGGGGCATGCCAAACAAGTGGAGCGAAAGAAGCCCTAAATTGGCTAATTTGTCAGCAATTGCATTCCCTTCTCGAAATGTGTGAAATGGAATACCCTGCCTTGCAATTGGAAAATACAAATTTTCTAACATGTCTGGAGCAACCAAGGAGGAGAGAAAGATCCAGAAGCAAAACAACATATCACGCTAGAAGAGTCACTTCCAAGACATAAATTTTGCCAACCTCGCGCGTGAGCCAACTCCACAACAAGGATGACAATATGAAGCTCAACATAAAAAGAAGTACGATGCCACAAGCTTAAGGAGAAAATACCAAGAAACTAACCTGTAAAATCTCAGAAACCCCACCACAAGCTACATGACCCGGGCTACGTTTAGAAAGACCATCAATATTCACTTTGACCCAAGAAAATAGAGGGGGATGCCAAAGAACAGGGACTATAGAAGGAGCTTTACAAGACTCAACTAAGATTCCAAGAGAGAATAAAAGTTACTTATCCAAAATGTCCAATGAAAAGGAAGAGGGCTTACTTTCAAACTTCATTTTATTATGCATTTGCCAAATAGCCATTAGCAAGAAAAACCTTGAAGCTAGCTAGACATGGTGAAGTTGTAGAGAAGACCACTTTGACACAAAAGCAAGCCATAAGTCTGAGAAGGAACCCGTAAATGGATGAATAGTCCCAAATTGGGTTGCTAGCCAACACCAAGCACGTTGTACAAATTCACAGCTAAAAAAATAAGTGCTTAATAGATTCAAAATTCTTGTAACATAGTTGGCATATTGGAACTAGCGGAATGCCTTGTCGTTGAAGTTGATCCTCTATTGGGAGCTTTTTGAAAAGAATCTTCCAAGCTAAAATAGAGTAGTAAGGTGGCGTGAAATGACGCTAAATAATAGAAGCCCAACTTTTACCGGAAATTGATGCCGAACAATTTCATAGCCATCATAAAACGAAAAGACTCCAAATGTAGAAGCTTCCTAAATTAACACGTCCTTGTCCTCATCAATTGGAAGAGGCATCTCTAAACTCTCTTTAGCCAAGTCTGGAAAAGTAGAAGAAAAAAATAAAAAGAATAACCCATTTTGCCATACGAATAATATTTGAGACCTTAGTATGAGATAGAGAAGGAGCAAGCTCAGTAGCACCAACAGTGTCTACAATATCCAACCATTTATCAACCCAAAGAGAAGTACTAGAACCATTCACAATCACCCAATGACAATTCTAAAACAAGATGAAGGATGGATTTAATACCATGCCATATAGAAGATCGCTTGTAACAAGAAGAATATAAACGACCATGTAGCTAAAATCGTTATTGAAAATAAACACTCCAGGGAGAATCAGAAGTAATAATAACCCTCCAAGGTTTAAGAGAGCTATAATATTTAGAGAGCAAAGATCACGCAATCCTAACCCATCCTCATTTTTCAGTGCACATATCTGAGACCTATAAATGGTAACAAATCTTCTTTGAGGTCACCTCGCCAGACCATATAAAATTGCAAGCACATCGTGAAAGAGACCTTAGCAAGGAAGAAGGCCACTGATAAACAGAAAAACTATGCAAAAGAATACTTTGAAAAATTAATTGAATGAGTTGAACTCTTTTAGCCGTAGATAAAAGTCTTCCCTTCCAACCTATTAACTTAGCTTTAGCTTTATCTGCCAAGGGTTGGAGATGACACCTCTTAGGCTTGCCACAAAAAATTGGAACTCCTAAATAGACAAACGGTACTTTACCTTCTTTGAATCCCAAGTAGCTCTCGACCACAACTTTGCGATGCCTTGAAGTAAGCCCAACTAGAAAGTACTTTTATCCTTATTGATGAATTGACCAGAGACCCTACTATATCTATTGAAGAAACCTTGCAAATTACATAGTGTGACACCATCACTTCTATAGAAAATGAATAAGTCATCTGCATAAAGAACATGAGAAGGATAAATACAACCTCTTGGAGTAAAAATTGGCTTAGTAAGCTCATCAAGTTGAAATCGACTCAGATCCTTTGATAAAGCCTCCTCAGCTAGATAGAAAAGCAACAGAGAGGGAGGACTCCTCAACAACAAGAGAAAAAACGACGCGGGTAGCATTGATTAAGCTGGATAACTTAGCAGATCTTAAGATAGTAGAAACCCAGTCCATAAAACAAGTGGAAAACCCAAAGTTAGTAAGCACCCGCAATAGAAAGGACCAATCTAAAGTATCAAAAGCCTTAGCTATATCAACTTTAACTCCCATGTTACCACCACGAGATTTTTTGTCAAGCACATTGAAACATTATGAAAACAAAGGCCAATACAGTCTATGATACGTCGCCCAGGTATAAAAGCAGCTTGTTGTGGAGAAATAATGCGTTGAACAATATGAGAAAGACTAGCTGCCAAAATTTTGGGAATCATCTTGAAAAGAAAATTTACTAAGGCAATAGGTCTAAATTGAGTAATGGAAATAACATCTTCTACCTTCAATACCAGAACCAAGAAATTACTATTAGCATGAGGGTAGAACCAATTTAATTGAAAGAATTGCTACACAAATTGAATAACATCAAAGCCAACAATATCCTAACAGTAGTGATAGAAAAAACCTGGAAAACCATCTGGCTTGGGCGCATTAAAAGCACTTAAAGAGAAAACTGCCTCCTTAATTTCCTCATCAATAGGTAATGCATGTAAAAGATTATTTTTAAAATCAGTAACCATTAGCTGAATAACCTCACAAACCTCATCAACACCTGAAAGAGTGAAAGAAGAATCTAACAAAATCAGATAAAAATTAACAATATGGTTCTCAATTGCCTGCGGATCAATAAGAAGATTATTTCCATTATGAACACAATTGATATGAGAGCTAGAGGATTTACTACGAGCATAGGACAACCATAGGCAACTGTACTCATCCACCACTGAGTTACATTTTCTCGAAAAGATGAATGTTGAACCCACATTGATTGAAAACGAAAAGGACGAGGGCCACTAATGAGTCAATATTATATTATATATTTTACCCTATTTTTAGTATAATTTGGTAATTATTTTGGTAGAATTTTGATGCTTTGCTTTATATTTTTAATATAAGACATTCGACTTCCTCTGGAGCAAAACGTAATCAAATGGATGAATTTTTGAGTTATTCAAATTGGAGGACGTCCGTGTGTCTCTTGGCTTGTTTGTATCACAATTTGGAATTTTTCTACAAAGTGGTTATTTTCTGGCGATTTAATAAAGGAGTAGTGCGTGTTGCTGGAAAGTGACATTTCTGGGCTTAAACTGCGTTTTTGGAGCCCAAGATGACCTCATATAGGTTTGTGGCCTTATGGAGAAGTGTTTAGAATAGTCCAAGCTTTAAATCCAGCTATTTTGGGCCAGTTTTGGAGCTGATTTGGGTTCAAAACGTAGCTGTGCAGATTTTTGGGCGAATTTACCAAGTTAATTTAGGATCATGTTTCCTATTTTATTCAATTTATTAAGTTTCCTAGTTTTATTCTAAGACCTTTTATTAGGAGGATTTTATTTAGAGTAGTAAAAATAAGCCTTTTTTGGCTAGCCCTAGGGGGGAACGCACACACTACTTTAGAGAGTTTTTGAAGTTTATTTTCAAGGTGTTTTCTATCATTTTTCTATTTCAATAAAATTCCTTTTGTTTCATGGTTGTTTGTAACTAATTTTCTTTTGCTAGGGCGATGCCTTGAGACTTAGCATGAATATGTAATTTTTATTTAATTGCTTATGATATTATGCATGCATGCTTTGAATTATTAATCACTGTACTTTAAATTGTCTATATATCTTATGGTGCGTTTGGTACGTGGGATGGGACGAAACAGAGTGGGACGAACGCATTCCATCCCACGTTTGGTGCACTAAAATTATGTGGAACGTGTGTCCCACGGAACCGAAATGGATTAAATTTTGGTTCTCCCTCCCCCCTGGAATGGGTTTTTCCATCCTGTGGAACACATAAATGATAAATTTTAAGACAAAAATACCCCTTAGCTTTTCCAATATTTACACCTTCTAAATCATACAACAAACCCTATCCTTCCTCTTCCTCTTCTCTGCCGCTGAAGTTCTTCATCCTTGCATCTCCCCTTCGCAACCTTCCTCTTCATCCTCTTTGTGTGCCTCTCCATGAACTTCAGCTCTGCATCTCCATTCCAGGTTTGATCTACATTTAGAGGTATCTCTCTATCTGGATTCATTTTTTTCAGTGTTCAAGTTTCGATTTTTATGTGCTGAAATCTACAAATCTGATGTCTTTGAGTTCTGTTAGATTGGATTATGTTTTGGATTTTCCTCTGTTGGATTGGGTTCTGTTGGATTAAATATAAACTAGAACCTTTGATGAATTTATCAGGGTTAATGTCAACACCAATAATTTTAGATTCTCCTCTGGCTCTTGCTCCTTCAGCGACCTGATCCAGATTGCAAGCCGCATTTAGTTGAGTAATTTGGGGATTAAGAAACCCCAGTTGAGCATGAAAAAGGAACAATTAAATTAAATATTATAAAGCAAAATCATTCAAATTTAATTTAAGTTCATATTCGTGTTAATAAAATTCTATCTTCTTCGTTCCATCTTCTATGCGTGCTGCTGCATTTTCCCGTAGCCTTCCTCCTCATCCTCTCCCGTAGCAGCTGCATCTCCAGGTTCGATCTTGATCTTCTCTCATAGCCGCTGCTTCTCCAGGTTCGTTTTCTTGATTTTTCCATGGAAAATTTCAATGTTCTGGCAAAATAGGATGATTATGAGAAAATAAGTTAGTTTTCTTGGTTTCTCTAGTTTAACTTGTGCTTGGGAAAACGAACAAAGTCTGATTTTTAAGGTTTATTACGATTCTGGTTTGTAAAGAATTGGATCTGGTTCCGAGCTGTGCGATTTAGTGGGTTCGGTTGCGAGCTTGGCTTTGTATGATGGAAAAAGCTGGTTCTTTAATCTGGGTCTTCCTCCTTTTATTCTTTCTAGGTTGAATTTTAGTACTTCAAAATTTTTGATAATTTTTTGAGTTTGAGTTTCTGGGTTGCTCTTAAATTGGAGCTTTTGTGTTAGATATTTTGGTTTTTTTTCCCTTTATTTTATGATGCAAGAACTGTTACATTCATGCAATTTTGGCTTCTGAAACTGGTTATTCTGCAAAATTTCATCAATTTATCAATTGGGTTGTTCTTCTTTTGTGATTTCGAGAATTGGGTATTTAGTGATTGCACATTGTCATGGTTTTTTCACTATTTCAGAAGCAATTGATTGAGTTGGATGTGATGCTACTAGAGCTGCAAATCGTCGAGTCTTTAGAGTGAGCGAGTTTGCAGATCCATTTTGTTTTGATTCTTATATAGTGTGATAATATTTTGGGTTAGATGTTTTTTGAAGTGGATTTGAAGCAAAGGTGAGAGAATGCGATAAGCCAAGTCTTTATTTTTTTGCTTAAATGCTTTAGATTTGGTGGAAAGAATTTGCTTCCTGAATTTGAAAGGCTTTGCTGTATTAGTTGGAGTTATAGTTGTGCAGCAACAGTCTTTAAGGATTTCGTTGTTGGCTAACTATTTAAGGCTTTCATCTTCTGTTTCATGCAACTTTGAAGAGGATTCGAGGTGGGTTTTTGATGACTCTGTAAAATTGTAATTGTGTGTTGTAGATGAACACATTGTGATGTGCTAGTTGGGGAGTTGGAGAATCGAACTGTAGATGGAGCGCAAGTGGTTGTGCAAGAAGAAGTCTCTTCTGTGAAGAGCTCTGGAGAAACTTGTACAAATAACAAACACCTCTATGTAATTCATTCATTGTTCAAGGAATACAATCTTTAGTCATTCACTTTCTCTCTCTAAATTCTCTGCCATTGTTTTTCGTTTTGCTTCTTTTGCCATGTCTTCAGTCAAGAAATGGCATAAAATATATCATGGCATAACATATCTTTAGCCATGTGCTACTGTAAAAAATATATCATAGATAAGCATGTATGTGTTCAAATATGAACAAGTTAAAAAAAAAAAAAGTTTGTCTCGTCCCGTCCCACGCATAAACAATGTACCAAACAACAAATGGAATAGGGGTAAGTTAGTCATTCAATCTTTTGGTTTCGTTCTGTCCAGTGCGTACCAAACGCAGAACGGAACACTCGTCCCATTCCATCTTGCGCGTACCAAACATAACATGGAACCTCTATTCTGTCCCGTCCCGTCTGCGTACCAAACGATACCTTAATGCTTAGGTACCATTCGGATGTTTAGACAAGTAATCAGATGCAATTCGGTCAGAATACCACCGGTGGATTGAGTATTGCTTCTTGTGGTTGATAGTAGTTATTTCACCTAGGGCGAATACCACATCTTAGGGGTTACATGGTTTTTCAAAGGGTTTTCACAAAGCATAATGAGTCATGCATGTTTATATTTGATCTAGTTACCATGAACAGATTGCATGTTTGAAATATGTTCTAGCTTGAATACCACAAGTAGAATATGCATTAGGAAAACCTAACATTCAAAGTTGCATGTATAATTCATAAGTAATTGGTAAAACTACATAAGATTGTTAAGGGGATAGCAGAATCCTAGTGCTTTTCCATATGTATTTCTCAAAACCTTTTCTTTTTTATTTGATTTATTCTTAATTGGTTACTAATTGTTTTTCCTAAATTACTTTTATTAAATACATTTTTATTACATTTAAATTCAAAATCAACCTTTTCCAATCTTGGTTTTCAAATAATTAGCTAAGAATTAGTATAAATACATATTATTCATTCAATCCCTGCGGAAATGACCTTGCTTGAGCCGTTTATGCTACAACTACCTTGTTCTCTTGCAAGTATTTTTAAATATTTTTATCTCTACTTTTGCAGGTGGTAAAAATCCCTATTAACCACTACTCAAAACTCTTGAAGCAGAAAAAAAAAAAAAAGAGGATTATGATCTGAGACTACATTTGGCAACACTAAGCATTTAGAGTGAGGCCAAGAATCAAACCAACTTATATCACACAAAGAACGATCTAGCCTTCTTTCTGTGCGACCATGAAACTTCCAACCATTAGGCCATGTAAAAGTTGCCCTAGAAGTATTCAAGTGAGTAAAATTACAAGAATCAGACATGGTACTAAACTCAGCGCAGGAAGTCTGCGACGGTCTACCTTCTCCCATCTGCTCGTGGGCACCAAATATAGCATTGAAATCACCAATAGCCATCCATGGAAGTTGTTTCTGTGAGCGTAGAGTAATAAGATCAGCCCATAAATCTCTTCTTTTAATAGATGAAATGTTTGCATAAACAAAGGTGAACTGACTTAGGATATGATCAAAAGTATAGCGAACAGTAACCTATTGATCAGATATAGAAATAACTAAAAAATTTGCACAAGTCGAAGATGTTAGCAACCAAAGATTAGGAGAAAGAGTTCATCTAGAATTAAAAGTAAAAGCAGATAAATTTAATGTATCCCAAAAGCAGCTAAAATAGAATTAAAAGCCACCATGGGATTTGCAATGCAAATCAAATCCGGGTGATGCAACCAACATATGTTAGATGGTTCAGTTTGAGAGTCATCATTACCAATGCCATATATATTTCGGAAAAGAATCTCCATTTACAACGAGCTGATATTTCATAGACCCTACTCGAATGGGGTTTATTAGAACGCTGATTGAGCTTGACAACCTGCTTTTGTTTTTTTTTTTTATCAAGACTTAGACAACAAAAGAGTAAAACCATCCTTATCACAGCCGTCTATATGATTAACAATATCAATGACATCCTTAGCCAATGTCGCAACATGTCAAAACCCATAAGGACTACTAGAGTCGTCATGAAGATCCCTTGGACCAATATTATTTAGGACATCAGTGTTGCCCAAATGCTTACCATTTTGAGAATATAATCCATCTGAGAACAATGATCCAGTCATAGAATTGCTAACATGAGATATCCCATGGGATTGGACACCATGTTTTTCGTTTTCAAAATTAATTACAGCTTGAACAATGTTCCCTAAAGCCTCATCAACCACCTGTTCAAGAACTTGATTTATGAGAGTATTAGCCTTATCATGAGCTAAAATGACATTATTATCCTTACTAGAGACAATTGGCGCCACCAAGCAGAGACTGAAGAATAGGCTCATCATTATCATCAACCATTGCCCCATCATCGTTAGTATTGAAGGCAGTAACTCTTAAATTTCAGGTAGATGGGCCATGGGCCCACTCCAACGACACCAATACTGTCCCCACTTGACAACCTTCTCAATCTGTTAGGTGTGGGGTTTTAATACAAAAGGCCTCGGCGTCAGTTAAAGTGGGGTAATTATATATAAATGGCTTGTTCTCAAGCCTTCTGGCTGATGTGGGACAAAGGAATTCTAACACTCCCCCGCCCGTGAGACCCTATTTTATGGCTCACACTTGGAGTTCCACATATCAGCAACCACGTGGAGTTAAGTCGGGGCTTACCCATTCGCACTGAGCCAATGCACGTGATCTCTTGGCCTACGTGGAGCCTAGTCGGGGCTCACCCATTTACGCGGGGCCAAAGGGGACCCACCCGTTCACATGTATGTACGGACCCGTCCCCTGGCTCTGATACCATCTTAAATTTCAGGTAGACGGGCCATGGGCCCACTCCAACGACACCGATACTGTCTTCACTTGGCCACTTGCTCAATCCTTCAGGTGTGGGTTTTTAATACAAAAGGCCTCGGTGTTAGTTAGAGTGGGGTAATTCTATATAAATGGCTTGTTCTTAAGCCTTCTGGCCGATGTGAGACAAAGGAATTCTAACACTCCCCCGCATGTGAGACCCCATTTTATGGGTCACACGCAGAGTTCCACACATTGACAACCATGTGGAGCCAAGTCAGGGCTTACCCTTTCGCGCTGGGCCAATGCACGTGGCATCTCTTGACCTACGTGGAGCCAAGTCGGGGCTCACCCATTTGCGCGGGGCTAAAGGGGACCCACTCGTTCACGTGGATGTATGAGCCTATCCCCTGGCTCTGATACCATCTTAAATTTCAGGTAGACGGGCCATGGGCCCACTCCAACGACACCGATACTGTCCCCACTTGGCCACCTGCTCAATCCGTCAGGTGTGGGGTTTTAATACAAAAGGCCTCGGTGTTAGTTAGAGTGGGGTAATTCTATATAAATGGCTTGTTCTCAAGCCTTCTAGTCGATGTGGGACAAAGGAATTCTAACACTCCCCCTCACGTGAGACCCTATTTATGGGTCACACGTGGAGTTCCACACATCGACAACCACATGGAGCCAATGCACGTGGCATCTCTTGGCCTATGTGGAGCCAAGTCGGGGCTCACCCATTTGCGCGGGGCCAAAAGGGACCCACCCGTTCCCGTGGATGTACGGACCCGTCATTTGGCTCTGATACCATGTTAAATTTCAGGTAGACGGGCCATGGGCCCACTCCAATGACACTGACACTGTCCCTACTTGGCCACCTGCTTAATCCGTTAGGTGTGGGGTTTTAATACAAAAGGCCTCGGTGTCAGTTAGAGTGGGGTAATTATATATAAATGGCTTGTTCTCAAGCCTTCTGACCGATGTGGGATAAAGGAATTCTAACAGTAACAATTAATCAACATGTTGAAGAGGTTCAGAAACATGTGACCCACTCAAAACATTAACTGGTATTGCCATATCCTTTTTAGAATGATATTCCAGTTAACACCGAGAATGATTTCTTATTTTATTGTCCCCCATGTTACCACCATACCTCGTTCGAGTCCGGCTACAAGAATGACCTTTGGATACCTGTTTATGTTGTCTACAACTATTAACCAAATGCCCAATCAAATCACAGTGACAACATTTACATGGTAAGTTTTCATAAACCACTTGAACTGGGAAGCCATGACTTTCTTTTTCAACCATAAGAGATGTAGGTAAATCATCTGCAAGATTAACATCAACTAATATACGTGCATAATAACCATATTGTCTTTCCCTTGTAGCTTTATCTAGTTGTAAGGGAGTGCCAACCCCTCGCAATTTCCATCAAGTGTCTAGGATGCCAATATTCTTGACTCAAATTGAATATTTAAATCTATACCTGAGCATGAGTTTGAGGGAGAACATCACGTGGTGGAAAATATGGCGTTCATTTCAATAGCCTGAATAAACTGGTAGCAATATTACACATACCACCACTCCATGCCCGTTGCATATCATCTTCCATATTGAACTGAATATAAAAAAAACTTTAACCTATAGGAACAAGGTTCCATGGTGCTGTAGGCCGACATGCATCTTCTAAACAAGATTTTAAAGTACTGGTCTTCATTAGCGTAGAGGTAGAACCTTTTTTGAGGAGCAAACGACCAAGAAGATTATTTTGAAACATCTTCAGCCGTTCTTGGTATAACTTCTTGCTAATTTTTAGATATGTTTTGGCTAAGATGAACATCTTCAATTGGTGTGAAACCACAAAAGAAAAAGTCTTTGCTTTCAGAATTGGTTGGATGGGGGACTTATTAGTTGTTGGCATAGCCGTCTCTGCAAGAAAGCCCCATCGGCAAACAATATTTGTGCCCATGATAATTAGATTTGAATTGCCAACACTATAAAGCAGATTGTCAAACCAGTCAAAACCAAATCAACTATTGAGATGCCTTTTGATAATAAACAACAATTGGTGCTCCCCCACCTTCATAGCAAGAGTCCTAACAAATATTTTTTTGTTTATCTTTTAATGAAGGAATAGGGGAAACGCAGGGAAAATTTGGGAAAATTATTAAAATTTGGATTCCATATATAATTTTAACTCTTGTAGTTCTATTAGATTAGGAATGTGATTGTGTAATCCTAGTAT